GTGGGCAAAGCTGGCCTTGCTGCTGTCACCCACGGCCATCGGGCCGTGGCTGGGGACAGCGGGGGCAGGGAGGCTGTTTCAGGTGTCAGAGCCGGCCAGGACCTGCTCCCACCTCGCGTTCAGTCCCCAGGCCCCAGTCACATTCTGGTGAGAAGCATCTGTGAGGCAAGCATCTGTGGGGGTCCACGTATATCACCCTCGGTTCCGTTTTTTTAAAAAATATATATATTTCACCAAGTTAGAAAAGCAGCATTTTAGCGCCTCTCTGTGCACAGGGCAGGCGGGCTCCCCTCCTTCCTGTCCAAGCCCAGGTGGGCTCTTAGCCACGATGGGACCTTAAGCAAGGCCCGTCACCTTGGGGGCCTCAGCCTCCTCAGCTGTACAGTGGGGACAAGGGTCAGACCTCGAGATTCGAGCAGCTCGAGTCGGCGCCTCCAGGAAGCAGTGGGAACAGTTCTGGGACCACTGTGGCATCAAGGAGCACACCCTGAGCTCCCGCAGGGGACCAGTGTGAAGTCCCCAGGCTGCTGGGTTCCTGTCCCCACCCCACCCCATGGCTAGCTGTGTGCACACGGAGAAGGAAGGACATCGAAGGTTCATGCTAGAGCCCACCCCAGCCGGTCCAGGGGCCACCCAGCGCCCCCTCCACACACCTCCACTGGCTGTATGTAAACGACCTTGATCTCCTCGCCCCCGTCCCCGCTCTGGAGAGTGCAGGCAGAAAGCTGTAGAGATTTGGGGATGAGGGGGACCACCGTGTATTGAATGTCTACTGCGTGTGGAACAGTTTACACACATGACCTCCTTATATCCTAAGAACGACCTGATAAGGGGGCTATCCCTACTGTCACGTCACAGAAAGCCAAGGTTCTGACAAGGTCGCACAGCTGGGACCCGCCGCCAGGTTGTGTGTCGGAGTCTGGCCTTGCAGCTAGAAGAGAGCTGGTCCCTGGGGATCCTGGCTGCCTGAGAGAAGGGGGCAGGGCACCCGCCCCCCACTGCCTGGCCCCAAGACCCCACCCCGCCAGGGGGGCAGCCAAGCTGAGAACCAGGATTGGCACCCAGACACCCAGCAAGGGCCCAGCAGCCACTTCTCAAAGTTTAATGTCTCAGCAGGTTTAGATTCCTTCTTTCAAAATACCAGAAGTAATTAGACCAGATGGACGAGCTGCGTGCCAACTTCGCGCTCTCTTTTTTTTTTTTTTTTTTTAAATCAAGGCCGTTTTCAGTTAAATGAGAACAACAACAAAAAAAAATACATCCAAAACCCATAAATGAATACGGTACGTATACGGAATTTTTTTTTAACACTCAGGATTTTGTAACAGCTGAGTTCTTCCTCTTGCGATTGGTTCCCGCCCCCTTCCTCCAAGCTGCTCTCGGGGAGGGCTCAGTGCCGCGCCTGAACCTGAGGGGACCAGAAATGGCTTCCCTAGCCCTGAAAGTCACAGCGCCCTGGGCGGGTGGCAGCACAGACACAGGGGCCTGGAGAGACTTGTGTCCCTTCCCTGCCAGGCCGGATGGGGAGATGTGGTGATGGACCACTGCTGGGAAGGCAGGAAATGGAATCGGGGGGTGCGGGTCTGGTCCCCAGCCTGGGGGTGACAGGCAGGCCCTTCTCTACAGAGATGGGCACTGAGGAGGAGGAAGGAACCAGTGGGCAGGAGGCGGGGGACAGGCCTGAGCAGAGTCCACACACAGACTCCGACACAGAGAGACCAGGCCAGGCCTGAATTTCAACTTGAGTCCCCACGGCCTGACTTCTGTCCTTCTGTTCATCCATCCGACAGCTCTTTATTATAATGGGCCGGACGCCATTCTCGGCACTGGAGCGAGGCCCACAAAAGAGATTCAGGTCCTTGCTCTCGTGGAGCCTCAAACGTTCTAGTAGTTTGGAAAAAGAGGCTTGAAAGAAATCGATTGTCAGAGCAATTCTGACAGTGCGGTCCCAGAGCCAAGTGGCAGGAGAGAGGCGGACACAGACACCGCCTGGAAGGAGAAGGGGGCGGGGCAGCCAGGAAGGATAGATTTCTGCACTTGGTACAGCACAGTGGGTGTCAATGTGCAGAAGCGTAAAACGGGACCCCACCTCACGCCAGCAACGCAAGCGCGGCTGGTGGGCCCAGCACCTGAGCATGAAACGCACGGTTCTGGAAGACGAAGTGGAACCATCGTCATGACTTCGGGGGAGGGAAGGCGTCTTAAACAGGACGTGAAAATCACTTACCACAAAGAAACACACTTATGCATTTGACTGCGGCAAAATTAAGAAAGTCTGGCCATCTGAAGTCACCGCTGAGAGAGAGAAAGACGAGCCACAGAGGAGGGAAAGCTGCTTGTCACGTCACATCTGACAAAGGGGTCGTATTCAGAAAACATAAAGAATCTCTATGAACCAATAAGGAACAGCCAGACACGGACAAGAACGTTCAAAGCAATGTTATTTATACTAGTCCCAAAGCAAGGGTGGCTGGATTTGGTAGAATGGATAAATTAACTGTGGTATATTCATACGACAAAATCCTATATAGCGGTGAGCAAAGAACCAATTTTAACTGCATATGATGATGGAAGAATCTTAAGAATATAATATTGAGCATAAAAAGCAGATATGATACATATCTGGATGAGTCTGTTTTTATAAAGTTCGAAAACCAGGCAGAATCAAACTATCTCTGGGTTACAGTGACCAGACGAAACGCAGCATGCCCCATTAAACTTGAACTTCGAATAAACAACGAATAATTTTTTTAGTATAAGTATGTCCCTCATCTTGCGTGTTAAAAATTATTCTCTCTCTGCCTCGCCCAGTCCTGCAGGGTGGGGTTGGTAATGCCTGGTCACAGCGGGGCCACTACAAAAACAGAATGAGAACAGCCTGGCACACACGGGGCCGGGCCTGGGCGAAGGCTTGGCACTCATGGGGCGTCAGTGGTTATGGCCCCATCGCCGCCACCTATATCCTGAGCTCCTGGGTGGCAGAGACAGGCCTGATTTCAGGGGCTCCGGAGCCTTGAGAGGGGCCGGCACGCGATGACCACTGTGGGCCTCGAAGCATGCGGACTAACAAGAAGTCGAAGCCACTCCAATGTAACCCGTCCCCGAGGCAGAGCATGTCTTGGTAGCCGCACTTACGAGAAAAGCCAGCCGTGGTAACCATGAGTCTGCACTGGTTCCCCCTTCCTGGCTCACTGAGGTGAGTCCTCAATATCAAGGGCAGCCGGTCACACTGCCGCCCTCCCAGCACCAAAAGGACCTCCCGCTCTGCGTGTCCCTGCCTCCCTCTGCTTGCAGAGGGACCATTGGTCATAGGGAAAAAAACTGTGGCCCTCTGAGGGGGGAGGGGCTGGGAGGACACGGGGGCCCAACCACGGTGGGTCTCCGCTGACATGCCCAGGGTGACAGCCACCACCACGGCAAGAGCCAGTACAGCCTGGTTGCCCAGCCTGTGGCTTCAACTCCCCCACTAAGACACACCTGGAAGCCACACTCAGCCCCCAGAATGACCACATCCCTTAAAGGCTCCTGGCCTTGGCTTGGGCTGTCCCCTCTACCTGTCACGCCCTTCCTGGCCTCCTGTGGCTGCTGTGTGTCCTCAGCCTCAGGCTCTCCCATGGGAGCCTCCCCTGACCCCAGCTCCCCCGGCTCTCACTGAATCGAGGAATCGGTAGTTGGCGTCCATCCCCATGGGGATGCAAACCCCCTTCGGCGCCTGGGGCACGGCAGGTGTTCATCAAAGGACACTGAATAACTCCACCCTAGAGCAGACCAAGAGCCTGCAGAGTCACTCAGTGGCTGGCTCTGGGCAAGCTGCACCCTCGCCTGGGCCTCCACTTGACCTTCTGTGAAATGGGGTAATTGGAGGCCTCGCCCTGCCTGGAAGGTTGAGGAAAAAAAAATCCCGCCTCCGGCCTCCACCCCATGATCTCCACAGCAAAAGCCACGACCAACCTCCCAGCCTCACTCTGGGCCTGGCCTTCCTCCGGATGGGCCCATGCAGATCTCACAGAAGGACCAGAGAGGCTAAGGCACTTGCCCGAAGTCACACAGCTAAGAAGTGGGGGTGCCCCGTCCCCCACGGCCCAACTGCCCAGTCTCTGCTGTTGCTGTGACTTCTAGGGCCTGGTGGCAGGGACCTACCTTCCCAGGCACACGGGTCCCAGAGGGTAGAGCAGCAGCAGGAACAGGATAAATTTCAGTGTCACGGAAGCAGATGTAAGCAATGGACTCACAAAGCAGAAGAGTTAGTAAAACTTGCCCAGCAAACGAGCACAGGTCTCCCTTCCCACCACCCGGAGCCCAAGGGGAACCAGGGCGGGGTTGCTACGTGGAATGCCAGCTCACGGCCCGCATCGTGCAGTGCAGATGAGGCGCCTCTGGCTTTCGGCATTAAGGGCTATTAAAGGACATCGGCCCAAGAAGAGTGTGGCATAACAGGTCCTCAGAAATGCCTCCTCTCGTGCCTTCTCTGCCTCAGTTCCAATACCCCCTCCAATGGGGAGCCCTCCAGGATCTCACCAGGTCCTTCCCAAGTCCCTTCTTGGGTCCCTTCTCTGTCCTGCAGCCCCTCCCACTCCTGAAGCCTGGGGCTGAGCCCAGCATGGCATGTGCTGTGGGTGTGCACCCCGCTGGGACAGAATTCCTCAAATTCAGGTCCCTGGAAACTCAGGACCTGGAACTAAAGAGTTCAGAACTGCCCATGCTAGAAGCCACAAAAACCAAAAGCAGGACCACTGGTGCCTTGAGCATGGAGCAGCTGTCCTACAGCAAGACCAACAGTCGGCCTCACTCAGGCCTCAGCAGCACCAACACTGGACCTCCAGCTGGCAGAGGGGACCCCAGGGCTGGCCCCGAACCCTGGCCCTTTGTTCACACATGAGCATAGAGAGCTGGCCGTCAAAGGGGTTCTTTGGAGCCCAGCCGTGGGGTGCACAGAGCTGTTCTGTAGGGAGAGTGGGTGGGACAGTGAGTGACTCCTGTGGGCTCCCATCCCCCACTACCCTGGGCTCTGGACAAGGCCACGTTGGAGGATGGGGTCTGCGGCAAGTAATAAGAACGATTCCTCTGCTCACAGAGAGCTTGGCGCAGGTACCGGGCTTGGCTGAACCCTCCCGACACCTTTGCCACCGTGCTCTGGGGCAGAGGCAGTGTCACTCCCATTCTGTAGGAGAGAAAACTGAGGCACAGAGAGGTTAAGTGACTCGCCCAGGGTCACACAGCCTGTAAGAGGTGAGGCCAAGATTTCAGCCCAGGCAGTTTATTCCAAAGCCATGCTGGTCTCTCTCTCCTGTGTATGGCATCCTCACCCTGCTAGCATTTGGCACTCTGTGGCTATTGCCAGCTGGGCCTCTAAAGGCCAGCCAGTCTGTCCACCTATAAAATGGAAACAATAGTTATGGAGAATTTAGCCTAGGGCCTGGCTTACTGTATTTATTCAGGAATGATTTGCTGCCACCACCATCATTACTATCATCTTAATCATCACCATCATCACCACCATCACCACCATCATCACCATCATCATCACCACCATATTCACCATCATCATCACCATCACCATCACCACCATCATCATCGTCATCACCATCATCACCATCATCACCATCATCATTATCATCATCACCATCATCACCATCATCACCATCATCATTATCATCATCACCATCATCACCATCATCACCATCATCATTATCATCATCACCATCATCACCATCATCACCATCATCATTATCATCATCACCATCATCACCATCATCACCATCATCATTATCATCATCACCATCATCACCATCATCACCATCATCATTATCATCATCACCATCATCACCATCATCACCATCATCATTATCATCATCACCATCATCACCATCATCACCATCATCATTATCATCATCACCATCATCACCATCATCACCATCATCATTATCATCATCACCATCATCACCATCATCACCATCATCATTATCATCATCACCATCATCACCATCATCACCATCATCATTATCATCATCACCATCATCACCATCATCACCATCATCATTATCATCATCACCATCATCACCATCATCACCATCATCATTATCATCATCACCATCATCACCATCATCACCATCATCATTATCATCATCACCATCATCACCATCATCACCATCATCATTATCATCATCACCATCATCACCATCATCACCATCATCATTATCATCATCACCATCATCACCATCATCACCATCATCATTATCATCATCACCATCATCACCATCATCACCATCATCATTATCATCATCACCATCATCACCATCATCACCATCATCATTATCATCATCACCATCATCACCATCATCACCATCATCATTATCATCATCACCATCATCACCATCATCACCATCATCATTATCATCATCACCATCATCACCATCATCACCATCATCATTATCATCATCACCATCATCACCATCATCACCATCATCATTATCATCATCACCATCATCACCATCATCACCATCATCATTATCATCATCACCATCATCACCATCATCACCATCATCATTATCATCATCACCATCATCACCATCATCACCATCATCATTATCATCATCACCATCATCACCATCATCACCATCATCATTATCATCATCACCATCATCACCATCATCACCATCATCACCATCATCACCATCACCATCATCATCGCCGGGGCTCCTGTGGACACACTGACCATCACACAGAACAGTTGTGACCCATTCTCACCTTGATCGCCACCCAGCCGGGTAACCCTCTGTGTCCCCTACAGACAGTAAGGACTCGATGTGTACTTGTGTTTTAAACAACTGGCCAGCTCCCACGCCCCCTCCTTCTGCACACTCAGCCGCAGCTCCTCCCCGCCCAGCACGCCTCAACCCGCGGTCAGACGGCGCAGCACACTCACCACGGGGAGCCATAGATCCGGAAGCCGCGCACGGTGACCTCGGAGTCCTGCAGGTAGATGCAGTTGGTCAGCAGCGACTGCACATTCTCGTAGTTCTCGGGCTTCAGCTTCGACACAGACGGGAAGTAGTAAAAGTCCTGCTTGATGAGGTCAGCCATGAACTCCTGGTCGAAGGTCAGCTCGTGGTTGCCGGCGATCACGATCTTGTACTCGTAGGGCAGGCTGCCTGCGGGGTGGCACAGACACACAGTGCACCGCCCGCCGCACACCCCCTGGAAGCCACAGCATGGTGGAGGGAGGGGCAGGGGAAAGCCACCAGTCTCCCTGGCAGAGCCACCCCTGCTGCCTGTCCTCCAACCTGTGCCCTTGCATCAGAGGTGGCAGCAGCCTAGGACTCCGCTGAGTGACAGGCCACCTGACCCCAGACTAGCAGGGATTGTGGGTGGGGGGAGGGCGGGGGGTGGTTCCTCCAGGCCTCTGAGCTGCAGCGTGACTGCCCTCGTCCTCAGAAGACCCTGCCCTGGACCTCCATGCCTCCACTTCCCCAGCTCACTGTCCCAGGCCCCCTCTACCTGGGGATTAGTAGCCTCCACCTCCCAACAGGAACGGCAAGGTCTTTGCAGAGCCTGGGTCAAAGCTTCAGAGATCCTAGGCTCTGTGCTCGGGAAAAATTCTGGTGCCATCCCGCCTGCCATGGAGTTCCAGGTCAGAACAAAGTCCGAGAGTGGTCAGAACACAGCCGTCTGTGCGTGCCATGCGCTGAACTGGCAACGGCGTCGCTCCAGCTTGCTCTCTGCAGTCCCGGACAGAGATTCCACGCAGAACTTCTCCCTCGCTTTCTCTGCGGCCCTACCTTGCCGATGCCCTAAGCAGGTGTGTGCGACCGCCTCTCGAGCGATCTGTCTGTGGGCTGGGATCCAGGAGAGCTGCCTGAGGCTACCACAGGCCCTCAGCCCCACCCCTGCCCACCCCCACTGCCCCCTGGGAGCCAGCCCGACCTGAGGCTTGGGCCCTGGACTCCCCACCACCCACCAGCCTCAGCTGCTGGGCTCCCAGGCCTAGAGAAAGAGTCGTCGGTACTTGTTTTAGATTAAAAAATGAAGTATTGAAGGCGAACCCAGAGGCCCAAGGCTTTCTCCTGGGCCCTCTCAGCGGGGGTGCCCTGGGTCAAGCAAATACCAAAGGGTGTGTAAAGGTGCCAGCCCAGCACGGGGCCCTTGGGGAGATGGGTGTCCAGGCAGAACGGTGACATTCCACAGCCAGAGACATAATCATGGCTAATGAACGACTAAATGACTTAAACTCTGTTTTTTTAAGGAGCCAGTCCCAGGGACACTAAGCTCTACCGTGTGTCTGTTTCAGCAAGAAGGTCACTTCTCTCGTCCTGAATTATGGCTAATTAGAAGGATCCCGGGGGTCCCTAGAGGGTGCACATATGAGCCCTACTATGTGCCAGCCACTGAGCCAGCACTCATCATCTCCATGGTGCAGACGTGGGAACCGCAGCTGAGGAAGCTGGGGGGTGACGCGAGAGGGAATCTTCCCAGGGGAACTCAGCCTCCCGACTCCTGGGCACGCAGAGATGGAGGAGCGAGAGGCCGCAGAGCTAGTGGAGATCCACACCTCACAGTGCATCTTCTCCGCTCCCGGGGGACAGAAGGGATGACGGGAAACAGCGTCATCCGTTGCATGAGCTTCCGTCAGCAACTCAATGCCAGAGCCGCCTCTGCTCCCAGCCCCGAGGGCTGTCTGCCTTCCTGGGGCCCGATGCCCTCACCGGCGGATCAGGCGCCATGACTGTGCAGTCAGACCCAGCTCCCAGTGAGCCTTCAGGAAGACGGGTGCTTCCCCAGCCCTGTGGACACTCCGGGACGGGGATCCATGAGACTTACGGCCGTGCCATAGTGATGTTCCATGCACAGTAACTACACCTCGCACCATATTCTAACTGCAACGAAACGGAACAGCCCAACGCCCAGCTACAGGCTTCTCCGCCCACCCCGCCCCCACGCTTGGGACCTGCACGTTCTGCCTGGCCACATGCTCTATGGCGAATGGCCACTGGATGGCCACCTGATTCCCTGCCCGGCCACACGGCAGTGGGGGAGCCCAGCAGTGAGGCAGCTTTCTGCAAAACACGCAGAAAACCATCACCGCCTCAGAGCCGCAGCGACGTCTTTACAGGTTTAAGAAAAAAAAAAAACAGTGTCCTCTGTTCTTCCATGTTTATCAGCTCTGGGAGCCCGTGGGACGATGACAGGCATCAGCCGTAGGTGCCGACAGCCTGGGCTCCAGACCCAGCTCTGCCACTGAGCAGTTGTGTGACTGAACCTCCCTGGGCCTCGGTTTCCTCACCTGTACGATGGGAAGGAGGCCGCCCGCCTCGCCAGACTGTCGTGGGATCACACAAGAAAGCGAAGGGAAACGGACAGACACTTTCGACGGTCGAGGAAAATGTCGGCTTCCCGGGACGAGATTCTGCAAACTAGAAGCCCTCGGGCCAGACCTGCCCACGCACATATTTGGTTTGGCAAAACTAGTTGGTTTTTTGAAATTGGAATTGGTTGCCAACGTAAAAAATTTGAGAGATTCCCAACAAAATGCCATTCTTTCTGTTTTCTAAAAATCAATCAGTTTTAAGATCTCACGATCCTGGCCCAGTCAGATGCTGAGTACCTGGGTCTCCCTAAGACAAGATGCAGACATCGGTTTGCCCCCATCCCCGTCTGTCCCAGTCTACCGCATGCAGTCCCTGGAGACTTGAGGGGAGCAGACGTGGCCCCTGCCCCTCGGTGCTTCCAAGCGGGGGTGGGGACCAGCTCCCCCAGTGCCATCAGCGCCCCCCCAGCCTCACCCACCTCCTATCGTCACCCTCCTGTCCACCCCAGTGGGCCTGGCCCAGGGTGCCGAGCAGGTGCCTGTCCCCCAGCACGATGGCCCCAGGCGCACGGGAAGAGACGTGTGTGCTTCACCCATCTCCGTCCCCGGCAGGTCCCAGCAGGTCGAGCAAATGAAGCCGACAGCACCACAGGGCGACATGGCGCAGAGAACCTGTCGACGGCGATGCTGCCGCGGGGAGGGAGGAGGCCTGCTGGGGCCTGAGCGGCTGGAGAAGCGTCACGGAGGGAGAGAGAGAGACGACTGCCATTTCCTGAACCCCATCATCGGGCAAGCCACCCTGGGTAAAAGGCTGGACCCTCCAATCCCCACAGACCCCACAGGTGGGCTGTTATTGCTGCCCTGTAGCTGGGAAAGTCGGCTCTGAGGTCAGGGACCTGCCTGGATCCCCAGCAGGAGACCAGAGAGGCAACGCTGGACGTTGGTCCAGCTGACCCCACACCTCTGGGTTGGCAGCTCAGACTCCGAGGCCACCAGACCGGGTGGGGCCCTCATCAAGCCCCTGTCCACTGCCGACTGCCCTCAGCTCTGATTCTCCCCGTTTCTCCTTCACGCACCCACCCACCCCACTCCGAGCGCCGCCCCGGCTGGGGGAGCCCGAGCCACACTGAGGTATTTATGTCATGTCTCGGACTGAGGGTGTTACTAAAGCTAATTAGCAAATGACTCCAACTGCACAGATTCATTTATCCCCACAGCTCCTGCGTACTGGGAGTTAGGGGGTGAGCAGGAAGCTGTCGGCTCTTCCCTGTCCCTTCCACCTCAGACCAGAGGAGGGTAAATGATGTTCTTCCATCCCAGAGAAGGGGGGATGGGGCAACAGTCTCCTGTATGTGAGGCTGGCGGGGGGCAGGAACCACAACCCATTAGCAGACACCCTCAGTTATTGTCCGGTCTCTCTCAGAAAGGCAGGTGCCACGTGGCTCAGAGGCAAGGGACTAGTCCATTTGTGAATACAGAAACCATCCGGCGCCATGCCCTTCTGAGCTGGAGGTCCAGCCACAAACATCTGTCTGGACGGCCACTGGACTTGGCAACTCGCCAGCTGTGCATAACTTTCAGACATCTAAGTATTACTATCCCCATTTCACATCTGGAAATCGAGGCTCAGAGAATTTGCCTAAGGTCACACAAATCAAACCACAGAAGGCAATGGACACTTGATAGTGTTTGTGGCTTGGCCTCATGAAACTCATCCTGAAGAGGCGTTCCAAGCCATCATGCTACTCTGTATTACAGTGGGTGGGCGGGTGGATGGATGGATGGATGAGTGGATGGATGATGGGTGGGTGGGAGGATGGATGGATGGATGGATAGGTGAGTGGATAGGTGAGTGGATGGATGATGGGTGGGTGAGTGGATGGATGGGTGGATGGATGGATGGATGAATGGATGGATAATGGATGGATGGGTGAGTAGATGAGTGGATGGATGAGTAAGTGGATGGAAGGATGGATGGATGGATGGATGGGTGGATGGATGATGGGTGGGTGGATGGATGATGGGTGGGTGGATAGGTGAGTGGATGGATGATGGGTGGGTGAGTGGATAGATGGATGGATGGATGGATGGATGGATGGATGGATGGATGGATGAGTGAACGGATGGATGGATGAATGGATAGGTGAATGGGTGGATGGGTAGCTGAATAGATTGGAGGATGGAAGGATGATGAATAAGTGGATAGATGGATGGATAGGTGGATGGATGAGTGGGTGGATGGAAGATGGATGGGTAAGTAGATGGAGGATGGGTGGGTGGGAAAAAAAAGGTGAGTAGATGAGTAGATGGATGAGTGAGTGGATGGATGGATGGATGGATGGATGGATGGATGGATGGATGGATGGATGGATAGATGGATGGATAGATGGATGGACGGGTGGGTGAGTGAATGGGTGAATGGATGGATGGATGAATGGATGGATGGATGGATGGATGGATGGATGGATGGATGGATGGATGGATGGACGGGTGGGTGAGTGAATGGGTGGATGGATGGATAGGTGAATGGGTGGGTGGTGGATGGATAGATGAACAGATTAGAGGATGGATGATGAATAAGTGGATAGATGGATGGGTAGGTGGATGGATGAGTGAGTGGATAGAAGATGGATAGGTGAATAGATGGAGGATGGATGGGTGGGTGGATGGATAAATGGATAGAGAGAGATAGATAAATGTATTTATAAATCAATCGATCCATCCTGAGCTAGCTCTGTCTCCTTTATGTTAACTGACCTCTGTCTCCCTGGACCCCGCCCTCTCCTCTAGACTTTTCCTCCAGCTGCCCCAGCAGGGCATGTTTTCCAGACCCGCCTCCCTCACCCA